ATTAGAATTTGCTAAATATTTTTATTTTTAAAATTTCCAAGAATTTTTTGCTTTTTGAAGGTATTTTTTTGAAAAATTGTTTAAAATATTTATTTATGTTATAGGTAAAGTTTGCTTCTTGAATTTTGTATAGGACATATTTATCTAGTATACCAAAATATAAAGAGAGAAAATAATTGTAACATATGTGAGTTGTTAGCATTTCAAATTTGAGAACTGTGTGTCTTATGCTCATTTCATCCTCTGATTTAAGGTGTTCCAGCACATCAATTAAAGGGCCATAACTCTGCTTTGGAATCATCAATTTCAATGAAACATCATCAGCTACTTTGTATAAACAAAAGACACCGGCATGTCAGATTTCAGCAAAATCAGACAAGGTTTGTGTCCTTATTAGGTTACAGACTACTAATTTTACCCCTATTTCATTGACCACGCAAGTAGTGCCGGTTTAAAAATAGAGCTTTTTTCTTAAAAATTCTTTGGGATGTATATGGGGTGGAATGGGGTTATTTTTGGGCATAGATGGAAAGGAGAGGGTCTGAAAAAAATTATAAAATTGATAATAATGGGAAATTTTGCTTTTAAGCGCGTAGTAGGAAGGGTGTAAAGAGGCCCATGTTTAGCCTTTCCTCGAAGGAAAAGTGAAATAAGCAGGGTAGGGGTTATTTGCGATGCCATAGCAGGACTTGCAGACTATGAATTTTCCCGAGAGCCTGAAAAATGTTTGGACTTGAATTGTTGTTACTCTATGCCAAGTTTCAGGTAAGTTGAGCCGGTGTGATTTTTTAAATTAATTTTTACATTGTAAAGGAATGTATAGCAAAATAATTGGTAGTCTGTGTCCTGTCAGGTCAAAGGTCAAAACTCACGTTAATCAATTTATTGGCACTTTTTGGATAATTTATAACTAATTATGCAAATTGTTGACAAATTTAATGAAAAAAGTTGTATTTTGGAGAAGTTGGATTGATTTAAAAAATTGAAAATGGGGAGGGGGCACCTGCTCGTGTTTGTCAAAGGGTATGATGTAATGTGTGCAATTAATGTGTGTCAAGAATTTATGCAATATGAATTTTGATTCTATATTTAATGTTGTAGCTGACATAGAGCACATTCCTCACCTATCCAGTTATTTTAAATTTCAAATGGAGTACAAAAAACACAGGTATGTTCTAACATTTTATTGTTCTTTTACACTGCTCTCAGTATTAGAGAAATGCATTATTCCCTAAAACTTTAGTCACTTGGTGTATATGTAATTATAGTTGATACAATTATTTATTAATTATGAATGTGAATTGAAGTTAAAAGTGCTTTAAAAGTTGAGTATTTTTTTTCAGTGGCTCATTTTCAGTTGATGTGGTGGCATTGTATGCAGTGGCCTGAATAGGAGACTTCTTTTATTTTTAAAAATTCAGGCCAGTTGTCAGTCAGAAGTGAACAAATTTCTACCAGTAGCAGAGACAAATGAGTATTCAGAAAACATGAAACAGCCGTCAACAACATTACTCTACAGTAGCCTTAACTAAATGTATAAATCAACTGTCTCTTAAGTTTGTACCAATTTCTTTTTGTAATGTATTCATCTATCACCATCATCTGTCGCCAAACTGGTTTACAGTCTCTAAAACTTTCTCCTTTTCTTTCAGCTTTTGGAATTACACATTTGCTGTCTGATTGCTGGCACTGATCTGTGATTGTCCAAGACAGGGGAGGTTAGTAAGGTGCTCAACATTTCATGTGGAATGTTTAGTCTTACTGACTTCTTCTAATCTTGAGGTGTCTTGGACATCATTGTCTGTGGTCGCATATCAGACAAAATCATCTTTTTTGGACAAGGACAGGTGTGTTTTCAAGAATTTAGATGTACACTGTGCAAAAATAGTGATCCACCTAGCAGGCAGAATTCATGTGCATTTTAATATAACCATCTCTACAACCCCCCCCCCCCCACCCTTTGTTCTTAGTAGTCAACTTCCAAGTAACTTCAGGAGTGATTATATGTGACATAGACATGGTATGTATTTCTCTGTGTTGAACCATTGAGAGTATATGAAATGCTTTTTAATTATTTTCTGTTATTTTGTACCTTTCTATTGCAGAGTTACCTCCCCTTTTTCTACAGCAAAGTGAAAAATGTATGTAGGTAAAATGCATGTTTAAATTCCTTTTCTTGTAAAATCAGAGTTATAAAAACCAAAATTTTATAAAATTTATGTTATTAATTGTCTAATCATGCTTATTATTACATGAAATACCCATTAAAGAAGTCTAAATATGACCAGGGATAATCCAATTAGAGTAGTAAGTACCACTTCCTGACAGAGGCTGAATGAACCAGGTTGGATAATCTGCTTATAACAAAGGTATTAATCTTTTTTCCCTAACTTTTATACTGATTTGTTAAAGCTTATATATTGTAGAATTTTTTTAATATAAGTTTTACTAAAATTAGAATTTGCTAAATATTTTTATTTTTAAAATTTCCAAGAATTTTTTGCTTTTTGAAGGTATTTTTTTGAAAAATTGTTTAAAATATTTATTTATGTTATAGGTAAAGTTTGCTTCTTGAATTTTGTATAGGACATATTTATCTAGTATACCAAAATATAAAGAGAGAAAATAATTGTAACATATGTGAGTTGTTAGCATTTCAAATTTGAGAACTGTGTGTCTTATGCTCATTTCATCCTCTGATTTAAGGTGTTCCAGCACATCAATTAAAGGGCCATAACTCTGCTTTGGAATCATCAATTTCAATGAAACATCATCAGCTACTTTGTATAAACAAAAGACACCGGCATGTCAGATTTCAGCAAAATCAGACAAGGTTTGTGTCCTTATTAGGTTACAGACTACTAATTTTACCCCTATTTCATTGACCACGCAAGTAGTGCCGGTTTAAAAATAGAGCTTTTTTCTTAAAAATTCTTTGGGATGTATATGGGGTGGAATGGGGTTATTTTTGGGCATAGATGGAAAGGAGAGGGTCTGAAAAAAATTATAAAATTGATAATAATGGGAAATTTTGCTTTTAAGCGCGTAGTAGGAAGGGTGTAAAGAGGCCCATGTTTAGCCTTTCCTCGAAGGAAAAGTGAAATAAGCAGGGTAGGGGTTATTTGCGATGCCATAGCAGGACTTGCAGACTATGAATTTTCCCGAGAGCCTGAAAAATTTTTGGACTTGAATTGTTGTTACTCTATGCCAAGTTTCAGGTAAGTTGAGCCGGTGTGATTTTTTAAATTAATTTTTACATTGTAAAGGAATGTATAGCAAAATAATTGGTAGTCTGTGTCCTATCAAGGACAGGTAACCACCGCCGCCATGACAGTGGAAAATCTCTGTTTTGTCGCGCATAGCAATTGCGCATTCTAAAAATAAATAGCATCCATGCTTGCGGAGAAGAATGTTAGATGGATCCAGTGATCTAAATAACAGAGATAACAAAACGTTGCATATCTAAATTGAAGAATAAAACAATGAAAAACGTGGGAAATATTTAAATAACATGAGTGACTGTATTGACTGAGTATATAGTTTACAAATGTCACAATGAACCCGAGAATGTTCCAATAGTGTTAACATTGCGATCCTGACGCATAAACACATAAATATACAGTGATTTATGGAGTATGGAGAGGCGAGTTAAACGCTATCATTCCGTGTAAACTTGAAAACATAAATAAAGGTAGGGAACATCTTGTGTCGTAGTGGAATCAATTATTTACCATACCAATGGGTGAATGGCAAATATGCAAGTTTTAATCGGGGACCTATATACTAATACTATATAGGTCCCTGATATAATCATAGATTTGAGTTATTTAAATAAGGCCTATGATATCGCTTGCCAATGATTTTTAAGGCAGCACTTCGTAGCGGTTTTAGATGGTTAAAATCCGTCTACTTTCTTTGTTAACAGCAGTGTGGAGTGCAGAAAGAAGGTTTGTTTACAACAAGCACTATGGATTTACGCTAGTTTAAATATAGATTTTTATCATCATTGTTGTTCCTGTGACGCAATAAAATGGCAGTGGTTACCTGTCGTTGGTTTTTTAGGGCGCTTGCGCCCGTTAACCAATGTCAGGGTACCAGTCTACAATAAACAAACATCAACTAACTTTGTCTCCTCCTTTTTCCAGGTAATTAACAGATTATTTTATATTTTATCTGATTGATTTTGTACAAGGTTACATGTTAGATACTTTGCTAATTGTGTACATGTTTATTTAGATGCATTTGAAGTTAGTTGTGCAGATTTTGTTATCGAAGCGATCAGTGCAAATCCATGTGCTTTAAGATCACGTGATGATTAGTTTATAGTGAAGTAGCCAAAATTCATACAGTTATGCCTGTTCATGTTTTAGTTCATGATTTATAAAACACATGTAGAAAATGATATTCATAGCATAATATTTAGTTGAGGCAGGGAGTAGTTGATGTGAAAGAAACAAGTCATGTTTCCCGCGCTTTATACATCCGGGCATTTCCAATATGGCTGCGCCCATACAGATTTTATTTTTTACATTTCCATTAGTATAACTATGTTAATGTGAAAGTCTAATTGGCTATTGTATGATGTCTGATTGTTATTTGAGAGTTGTGTTTATTAGTGTAGCATATCACTATTAATAGTATTTCAGTTTAAATTCATTATTAAGTTTAAGGTAGCTACTTTGTGGTTGTGATACTTTGTGTCAGAAAATGTCAATATTATTATGTCAGTCATATTACTTCAATCAATCTAGTCTCATTAGTTTAAGTCTCAGGATAACCAGGATTAATTCACAGATCTCGTCATTTTGTTTACATTGCCATTACAAGTTACTGTTGAAGTTCTACATACAAGTATCAGTATTGTTCCTTGATTATATAAATGCATCAGTTTCTAGTGATACATGTTACTGTGTTCAAGAATGTGTTTTTTGTTATTGTACAGTGGTACGACTTAATCTTTGTATTCGAGAGTCGGCGCCAATAAACAAACTTCAGCTAACTTTGTCTCCTTCTTTTTCCAGACTCTCTCCATTTGAAACCAGTTACACTTTTTGGGGGCTCGTCCGGGATGGAGACACCAGAGTTTGAGGATCGTCTACTGCAAGCGAGGTCTGTGTTGTGTTTAGCGACCCTGGAGGCCATCATTGAGTTTTGTGGACATGTTGGTGTTGAGAAGCAAGGTCATCAAGGCAGTGGAGAACTGGCTAGAGGAGGAATTTAAAGACACAACAAAGGGAACAATTGCGCTTCTGGCTTTGGAAGTGTTTGCAGAAGTAAAATCAGGGCCGACAACTGTTAAAATGGAAAAGGAAGAACCAAAAGCCATTCCAAACGTTATTCCAAAGACGGATGTGAAACCGACTGTGTCCACTGCCACTTCCTTTCGAAAGGAATTCAAAATTCATGGCCAAATTGAGGCCCAAAAGGGACTGTCATTTGTATCCCTAGCACGACAGATAGAAAAAGGATTAAAGAAGGGCTTTACAACAGTGGAAATAACAGATGCCGTTATCCGCGCAGTACCAGTGGGGACTGGAATGAGGTGTTACCTTGAGGGCAAGACAGATCTGACCCTAGCTTCATTACGGCAGATATTATGCGCTCACTACAAGGAAAAATCCGCTACAGAACTATATTCAGAGCTGTGTCAGCTAGCTCAAAATCAGTAAGAATCACCCAATCACTTCCTGCTACGAGCTTTAAATTTAAGACAGAAGATACTCTTTGCTTCGAAGGAAGAAAAAGCGGAAGTAAAATATGATCAACACTTAGTGGACAGAGTATTCTACCGTACTCTAGACACGGGATTGACAAATGAAGTCATCAGGCAAGAGGTGGCTGGATTCTTGGAAGGAATGCCCAACCTCGAAGAACTCATCCAGTTCATGAGGAAGGTTACCATGAAGGAAGAGGAAAGGTCCTCCAAACTTGTAAAGAGAAAAGGGTATCAGATTGCATGCATCCAAGAAAATGAGACACCAGAGTTGCAAAAGAAAAAAAAATTTAAGGAAGGAAAATTGTCATTAGAAGTCAAGGAATTAAGATCACAGATTAATGAGCTGAGAGAAGTGGTCACCAAAACATCCCAACCATCAAGTCAGAGGTCGAGAAAACCGCAGGCTCGAAAGTGCAGGGCATGTTCAGACAACAATGCCCCTACATGTAACCATTGTTGGCATTGTGGCAGCAGTGAACATTTTTCCCGAGGATGCCGCAATAGGATAAGATCCCGTCGTCAGGACTAACCAACTTCGGAAAACGGGCTCGGTTTGCTGCCACGGGACAGGCAGTAAAACCGGATGAAAAGTCCCAGAGTTCTCCATGTGTTCAAGTTCAGAGTAATAGTAGAGTGACTGGCCTTGTTTATAGACTCTCACCTCGCTTCCGGACTAAGATCACAAAAGTTGTTGGAAAAATGTGTCTCATTAACTGCAAATTGAATCACCATAAAGTGCAGGCACTCTGGGACACAGGAGCTCAAGTGTCTCTGGTCCATGAAGAGTGGTGGAGGGAAACATTCCCAGAGTACAGAGTGAGGCCATTGAAGGAACTCATTAGTGAGGACTTGACAGTACTTTCAGCTAATGGATCAAGCATTCACTTCAGTGGGTGGGTTGAATGTGCTGTGACAATTGGAAACCAAGTAATTACTACCCCGTTTTTGGTGACATCAGCTGCAGCCAAGGATTACCCCATTATTGGTTACAATGTCATTGAGGAATACATCCGTGATAGCGACTCTAACGTAGATACTGATCTCCACACAGCAATTCCTTCACTACCATCTAATGCCTCCGTCACCTTAGTACAGACCATCAAACAAAACCTGAATGGAGAGAGGATTCCTGTTAAAACAAGAAACCGAATGGTGACTATTCCTGCAAGGAGCTGAAAACAAGTGCGTCTTCAAGTGAGAACCAGGAATAACAGAGATCAAACAGTTGGACATTTAGAACCGTATTTGGAAAACTTGCCTGAAGGACTCCATCTTTGCGAGTGTCTTGTCAAAATGGAGAAAGGAGTGAAACTGATGTTCTATAACGAGGCTAGTAATGAACTTTCAATCCCAAAGCGAACAGTGGTTGGAACCATCAATAGTGTTAGTTCAATCATGGAACTTGCGTTGTCACCTCATGTACCTGAAGTTAGACATCAGTTACAGGGGAGATGGGATCCACCTGTTAGTTTAGAAGGACTAGGACTTACCACACAACAAGAAGGCAAAATCCGTCAGGTGCTAAGGGAGGAATGTGACGCTTTCTCTAGGGGAGATGACGACATTGGCCATGCTACTGACTTGGAACTTACCATTCCTTTGAAAGATACTACCCCAGTACAAGCCTCATATAATTCAATCCAAAGCCCGCTTTACCAAGAAGTGAAGGACTATTTAACTGATCTTATAGACAAGCATTTCATACGCAAGTCAAATTCACCATATTCGAGTCCAATGGTATATGTGGGCAAGCGTGATGGTACCTTACGCCTGTGCATTGACTGTCGGAAGGTAAATACCAAGACAGTGAAACAGGCAGAACCTATTCCAAGAATACACTTTAAACCAGCTGTCGGGAAGTCGATGGTTTACAGTTCTGGACGAAGGAAAAGCCTATCACCAAGGGAACATGTCCGAATCAAGCAAGCCAGTAACAGCCTTTGTGACTCCATGGAGATTATATGAGTGGAATCGCATACCATTCGGTCTTACTGGGGCTCCTGGAACATTCCAGAGGAACATGAATGAGATCCTTCATGACTACCGTGATAGATTCTGTATTCCATATTTAGATGACATAATTGTCTACAGTCAAACCTTCGAACAGCATTTGGAACATCTCAGGGCAGTTTTGAGAAGACTGAAGAATAAGGGTATTAAGTTGAAACCAAAGAAGTGCGAATTATTTCGTAAATCTGTCAGATTTCTTGGTTGTTTGGTAACGGAGGAAAGTTACATGATGGATCCAAAGGACAAGGATGCCGTATTGAAATTGAAAGACAAAAGTCCAAAGACCATTGGTGAATTACGGCAACTACTTGGCTTCATTGGTTACTACCGAAAGTACATACCTAACTTCTCACGTCGTGCCAAAACACTATATGACTTGTTACAATGTTCGGGAACAAAGCAATCAAGTGGAAAACAGAAGAAGTCATCCCAGAAGGGTGGACATGCACCATCAAGTCAACATATTTCTTGGACTGGACAACACCAAGCCACTTAAATAGTCTCATCGAGACTTTGCTGGAACCAAGAGTCATGGCATATCCAAACTTTGCGGAACCATTCACCTTGCATGTTGATGCATCAGGAGAAGGCCTTGGAGCCATTCTGTACCAGAAACAAGAGAATGGGAGATTAGCTCCGATAGCCTATGCATCAAGAACATTGACCCCAGCTGAGAAGAACTACCATTCAAGTAAGCTTGAATTCTTAGCCATGAAATGGGCAGTATCAGAGAGGTTTCGTGACTACCTGTTCTATGCACCATTTTTCACTGTGTAAAGCGACAGTAATCCGTTACAGTACGTCATGACCACAGCAAAGCTTGATGTGACTCGTCTGCGATGGGGATCAGAACTTGCCGAACTCAAGTTTGAGATTCGCTATAAGCCTGGCCAGAATAACAAGGATGCAGATGGTCTCAGCCAGATGCCATTAGTCGAGGACCATATCATGGATTATACAGAGGAGCTGTCTCCTGGGACAATCCACTCCATTGTGAATTGTGCCACATACCGAGGCAATGGGGACTGGCCATTAGTTGCATCACTCACTTGTACAGCAGATGTTTTCCAGTTGATAAGGTCAGAAAAAGAGAATGTCAGGTCAATATCGCTTGATGAGCTGGTAAAGGCACAGAGAACAGACCCAGATATCAGTCCAGTAATAGACCTGATGAAGAATAAAATCAGTCTATCAGGGAAAGTAATTTCTAGTCTCCCAGAAGGGTCTAAGAGACTACTACGTGAGAAGACTAAACTGCAGATTGACTCAACTGGTGTCCTGAAGCGAGTGATTCGAGGACCAGAGAAAGAGCAAAGATTCCAGATTGTACTCCCAGAACAGTACCGTGGAATGGTGTTAGAGGAGTTACACTCTAAGATGGGATATTTGGGTACTGACAGAGTAACTGCATTTATACGTGAACGTTTCTTTTGGCCTGGTATGGCAGCAGAAATTGAACATTTCATTACCAGGGTATGTTCTTGCATTAAGGATAAACCAACTTCTCGTCGGAAGTTGGCACCACTGCAGCCCATTACAACAACCTTTCCATTTGAACTGGTTTCTATTGACTTTCTACATTTGGAGAAAAGCAAAGGGGGTTACGAGTATATACTGGTGGTAATGGACCAATTTGCCAGATTTGCTCAGGCTTATCCAACTCGCAACAAATCTGGGAAAACTGCAGCAGATAAAATATTTCAGGATTTCATCATGAGGTTTGGATTCCCTAATAAGGGTCGAGAGTGTGAAAACGAACTCGTCCATGCTCTTCAGAAATTATGTGGTATGCGACGATCCAGAACTACCCCCTTCCACCCTCAAGGGAACGGCCAGGTTGAACGCTTTAATCGTACCCTCCTTGGGATGTAACGTACCTTGTCAGCCGATGCAAAAGCTGATTGGAAGTCCCACTTGAACAAAATTGTCCATGCATATAATTGCACACAGAACGATGTGACAGGATACTCACCTTTCTACTTACTATTTGGACGACAGCCTAGACTAGCCATTGATGTTATTTTTCAGGAAGCACATGGGAATCAAAGCCTGAAGGCCAAGTCACATTTAGAGTATGTTCAAAATTGGATTTCAGAAATGGAGAAGACATATAACATTGTTTGTCAGAGGGCTGGGAATGCTGGACTAAAGGGGAAACAGCAGTATGATAAGAGGGCTACCAGTGCAGCATTAGCGCCAGGAGACCGAGTTCTCGTCAGAAACTTCAAGGAGAAGGGAGGCCCAGGGAAGTTAAGATCCTACTGGGAAGATACTGTACATGTTGTTATTGGTCGGATGAACAGCAATTCTCCTGTTTATGAAATTCAATCTGAAGACGGAAAATGACCCATTCGTCGCCTACACAGAAATCTACTTCTTCAGTGCAATGATTTACTTTCAACAATGTGTGCCAAGAAAATCAGAGAGTGCAAACAAAAACAAGAGAAGAACAGAAAGTCTAAGAAATCATCTCAAAACATTGCACAGTCAACAGCAAAACATCCACAAGACCAAATTCATCCAGTTTCAGATTCAAGTAGCAACAGTGACTACATTGTCATCAATAGTGAACTGAATCCTCATGCTAAGACATTTATCCCAAATTCACCTAGCGACGCACCACCAACATCTGGTAGGTCAACTAATGATGAAGACTCTGAACCGATAATAATGGACGTAACTGACCCAGGACATGTTACGGTACAAGACTCCGAAACATCGAGTTGATCAAGATCTTCATCTGAATTCGTCAGTGCAGAGTCAAATGGTGAAGAGGACTCTCAAGATTCACCAGAACATGCTGGGAGTATTGATGATGCAAACAGTGACAGCAGTAGTAACAGTTATGGTACACTTAGATAGAGGGGACAGCGAGTGTCAAGACCGCCATCAAGGTTGACTTACGATCACATGGGACAACCAAGCTCCTATCCCTGGACCAACGTTATTGCGTGTGGACATGAAATAATGGTTTAGAGTGATGTTCATATTGTGCATAAACAACAAGTTGAAATTGTATATGTATGGCGTTGCATAAGGGTCATTTTACCTTAAGATTATACATGAACTTGTATTTTGTATTGTGATCAGAAAGAATGTTTACTCAAGGGTTGATATTTTTCAGAATTATTTTGTTCTGTATTCATGTCAGGTGGCCAACTGATGTGTACAAATTTTAAAGAAAATCTTAGTTGTCAACTAAATGTTATCAACTACAATTTCTGATTTTGATGCTAATACATGTGGAATCATGTCAATAGATAGGATGATATGTCAGCATATATGAGCATAATTGAAGAAATGTATTTGTAGTATATGTGTGTTAGAATATGGTTCAAGTTTCCTGATGATGATCAGATGATTGATTTTAGAGTAAGAATTTTTAAGAAAGAAACTTATGAATAATCTGTAATAAAATTTTTGTTTGTTGGTATTTTTCAAATGTCGAGGCGACATTTATTTTGCAGGGAGAGAGTGTGATAGTATGGAAAATAAGGGGGTACCATTTATTTTTTTATGTATAACACTTTAGCGATGTTGCAGTACAGTCGGATTGTTGTCGACGATTCTTGGTACGACTTGAGTTTTGTATTCGAGAGTCGGGCGCCAATAAACAAACATCAACTAACTTTGTCTCCTCCTTTTTCCAGGTAATTAACAGATTATTTTATATTTTATCTGATTGATTTTGTACAAGGTTACATGTTAAATACTTTGCTATTTTATCTGATTGATTTTGTACAAGGTTACATGTTAGATACTTTGCTAATTTTGTACATGTTTATTTAGATGCATTTGAAGTTAGTTGTGCAGATTTTGTTATCGAAGCGATCAGTGCAAATCCATGTGCTTTAAGATCACGTGATGAATAGTTAATAGTGAAGTAGCCAAAATTCATACAGTTATGCCTATTTATGTTTTAGTTCATGATTTATAAAACACATGTAGAAAATGATATTCATAGCATAATATTCAGTTGAGTCAGGTAGTAGTTGATGTCAAAGCAACATTTATGATTCCCGCATTTTCTACATCCGGGCATTTCCAATATGGCTGCGCCCATACAGATTTTATTTTTTACATTTCCATTAGTATAACTATATGTTAATATGAAAGTCTAATTGGCTATTGTATGATGTCTGATTGTTATTTGAGAGTTGTGTTTATTAGTGTAGCATATCACTATTAATAGTATTTCAGTCTAAATTCATTATTAAGTTTAAGGTAGCTACTTTGTGGTTGTGATACTTTGTGTCACAAAATGTCAATATTATTATGTCAGTCATATTACTTCAATCAATCTAGTCTCATTAGTTTAAGTCTCAGGATAACCAGGATTAATTCACAGATCTCGTCATTTTATTTACATTGCCATTACAAGTTACTGTTGAAGTTCTACATACAAGTATCAGTATTGTTCCTTGATTATATGAATGCATTAGTTTCTAGTCATACATGTTACTGTGTTCAAGAATGTGTATTTTGTTATTGTACAGTGGTACGACTTAATTTTTGTATTCGAGAGTCGGCGCCAATAAACAAACAGCAGCTAACTTTGTCTCCTCCTTTTTCCAGACTCCCTCCATTTGAAACCGGTTACATACACTACTGGACTTAAAATTCCCTGATATTCTGAAAAATCTCTGATAAACTCTGATATCCACTGTTTAAGTACTGCTTTTCTCTGTATAAACACTGTACAGTCACTGTACAAAATCCCTGTACCTACTGTAATCCCCAGTAAATCACAGTACAAACCCACTGTTATTTTCTATACATCCCTGTACTTTACTGTACGTCCCCTCTGTACGACCCGGTACACCACTGTCTGTCCTTGTACGCCTCCACAGTACAGTACTGTACATCACAGACGTGTACAGTACTCAACTTCTGTACAGCACAGTACAGCACTGTTGCTCACTGTACGCTTCCCAGACTGGCACTGTACATCACTG